GAGCCCCCAACACAAGAAGGACATGAACCAGTTGGAGAGGGTCTAGAGGAGGGCCACGAAGATGATAACAGGGCTGGAGCACCTTTCCTATGAGGACAGGCTGAAAGAGTTGGGGCTGTTCAGCTTGGAGAAGAGGAGGCTCCGGGGTGACCTTATAGCGGTCTTCCAGTACCTCAAGGGGGCCTACAAGAAAGATGGGGAGAGGCTGTTCAGGAGGGCCAGTTGTGATAGGACAAGGGGGAATGGTTTTAAAATAGAGGGAAGTAGATTCAGGTTGGATATTAGGAAAAAATTTTTTACCATGAGAGTTGTAGAACACTGGAACAGGTTGCCCAGAGAGGTGGTGGATGCTCCATCCCTGGAGACGTTCAAGGCCAGGTTGGATGAGGCCCTGAGCAACCTGATCTAGTTGGAGATATCCCTGTTCCTTGCAGGGGGGTTGGACTAGATGCCCTTTGAAGGTCCCTTCCAGCCCTAACGATTCTATGATTCTATGATTCTTTGATCCCACATTATTACACTTCATATTTTCTCATTGCAATGAGGAAGTAAACAGCACCTCTTTTATCTGTGGAGAGGGATAACTTGTGGGATTCCCTTCCTCCTAGTAGTAGTAGAAGCAAGGATACTAAAATGCTGGAAGATCTCTCTCCACTGATAGCAGCTGGGAGGGCTGAGAGTTATAAAGGAAGTCCTCCATAGTTGTCAATGTGCTCTGTGGGTGGGCAGCATACTTGCAAGTGTGGAATGACAGAGATTAAATTGTGTGTTTGAGAGTGTGCATGGTGGTATCTCAACATTTGAGACAGGAAATCTGGAGATGAGTCAGGTATGACAGAGGAAGAATATATACTGCCTTTATGAGAGAAAATTTGGGTGCGCAAATTTGAGTTGCAAGTGGTGGCACACTTGTTCCCAATAGTATTTTTTAAATCATATTTGAAGTGTTCAGAGTGTAGTGTTTGTTCACGGTGCATAAAGTCTTTTGTTCTTTCATCAGTGTAATGGAGCTTCAGTGTGAGGTGAAATTAAGTCTGTGCTTAGGTCAGCTCTCATTTTCGACACGAGGCTTTCGAAGTAGTTAGTATATTTAGTTTCTAACTAGCATCAAAATCCGTTGTGTTAATATAGACAGATGTTAGGACTGCATCACATTTATTTGAGCTATCGATGTGTTACAAATGAGAGCATGTGTGTTAAGTTTGCAACTGAGAGCTTGTTTCAGATACACGCACATTGGTGATTCAGAGTTTCCAAGATTGTTCTTTTTGGCTTTCGGTGACCACTCTAAAAGGGCATGGGTCTAGTCTCCTCTAGAGCCAGTGTCGGATCTGCACAGATGTGTTATATACCCCATGATGACTCAGAGGCAGCAGGTTTTTGTATGGGGGCAGCTGAACTGAGCCTTGATTATTTGTCTTACCTTTAGTTGTCCTTTACTTCCAATTGCTTTTCTCCCAGCAGTGAGAATTAAAATTCTGCAAGAACAGTAGAATGATAGAATTCATTATTTTTCCTCAGTAATTAACAGTGTCTGTGTCAAAAATGATTAATAATCTTAATTGTTTAATGTTCCTAGTAATGCTGGCAACTGGAAATCACTGCAGTTCAAAGCTTGAATGGTAAGAGTGTATGAAAAGGAAACTGTGAACAGCAGCTATCAATACATTAATGATAAAATTTGCCAACGTAGCAACTGCATGGAGTGAAATTACAAGGCTTTCTATATGGCTTATGTTCCAGGGAGGGCTAAAAATGTGTGTGACATTTTGTTTAAGAATGTGTCATGTATATTCATCACACATGTGACTTTGTATGGCAAGAATGTGCGTTCATGTCATCACAGCACATATGCACAAATACTAACTGATAAGACTCAAAACGCAAACGTAAACTGGGAGTAATTACCAGGTAGGCTTTATTCTAATGAATAGATCTCATATTTTTTACCTTTTTATTAATGACCTAGAAAAAAGCATTACAATTTTACTAATGTGTAGATGACAAAAGGATGGGATGTAGATTCACAGAGCAGTCAAGATTCTTTGATAAGCTAGGGGCAAAGAGAAAATGTATTTTAAATGGTGAAGGGCTCTGGAGATATGGTAGTTTAGATGAGCATATGTTCACAGTGAAATGCTATGGCCATATAAGCAGAAATAATGTATTAAATTGTCTCTGGTTTTACTGCTGGCAAGACTACCACTGGCATATTATGTCCAGTTCTGCTTCTGCAGTTTAAGACAGATGATGACAAATTGGAAGAGAATCAGAGGAGAGCAGTGAGAATGGTTAGAGCACTTGAAGCTATGCCTGAAGATAATGCAAGGCTCCAGGAACTTAATCTATTTAGCTTTCAAAGGGAACATCAAGAGATTGTTTCAACTGACTGTAGGATCAGGGGAAAGAAATTTGGTAGAAAAGGTCTCCTCACAGGAACATATAAAATTATACCAAGGCAAGTGGTTGAAATCTGATGCTAGAGGTAAATAGCAAATTTCAATAAAATAAATTAAATTGAATTATTGGAATGATTTTTCAGGAGATGTGGTAAGTTGTTTTTCACCAGACGTTTTTTAAATCCAGATGGTAGTTTTTCCTATACTGCGTTCTAATTCAAAGAGGACTAAGTTCAAGAGTGTTTCTTTGTCTTAGATTTTTGAGAGATCTGGGTAGTTGTTAAGAATAGACCTTCCTTCTTTATGTATCGGTGAATCTACAGATAAAGTGGTATTCCTGTAGTGAAGATATACTTGGAAACATGTTTAGTTAAATGCATTTTCATTTCTGTAAATACTGGAAGTGTGTCTGAACTCAATAATAAAAGTTAGTAAAGGTGTCTAGCTAACTACCAAAAGCATGTTCAGTGCCTAGAATAGTATCTCTTGGAAAACTGTGATGCTATTTTCCCTGACCAACTAGCGACTTCTAGTTGATATATGGAATTAACATGGCATTAAAGAAAAGTTGATTTAGGAGTCGTAAACTGCTAGTGAATGAATAAGGCTGAGCCCTCAAATGCCGTATTTGTGTGGTTACTACGTGACACTGGATGTCAGGACTTGAGACTAATTGTGTTACGTTAAATGGAATTTCAAGTGCATTAATTACAGTTTTTCTTTTCCACAGGCCCATGCTAAAGTCTGGCACCTCTACAATGACCATTTTCGTCCAACTCAAAGAGGAAAAGTGTCCATTGCCCTTAGCTCCCACTGGATAAAACCTCAACGTATGACTGAAAAAAACATAAAAGAATGTCAAAAATCCCTTGATTTTGTACTCGGGTGGTTTGCTAAGCCCATATTTATTGATGGTGACTACCCAGAGAGCATGAAGAGCAACCTCTCCTCTCTGTTGCCTGAATTCAGTGAAGCTGAGAAGAAGTACATCAAGGGAACAGCAGACTTTTTTGCACTTTCTTTTGGAGCTACCCTGAGTTTCCAGCTCTTGGACTCCCACATGAAATTCCAGCAGCTGGAATCAATAAGCCTGAGGCAGCTACTTTACTGGATAAGCAGTGAATATAACAACCCTCACATATTCATTGTGGAGAACAGCTGGTTTGTTTCTGGTAGCACCAAGAGAGATGATGCCAAATATATTTACTATCTCAAGAAGTTCATTATGGAAACTTTAAAAGGTAGGACTGAGGTTGTATTAATATGTGCTTGACAAAATCATGATACAAAATAACCTACAGAGACATGTTAAAGAACCAGGCTGAAAACTAATTTTAGTCTTCAACATTCATCTTGGCACTTGTGGAATGAGACTCCGAATCCCTTTCCTGGGTTTGTTCTTTCAGACCCTTAAGATCTGCAGATAGCATTTGATGAGCATGGTGCTGCTGTCTTTGAAGTCAATAGGAAAACTCCTACTGTCTTGGCTGGGAGGAAGTGCAAAACGTGTGAAGTCTACTCTCAATGGACTTAGGGAAATGTACTGTGTTATTTATTAATAGTTGTTTTCCGTATCTTAGATGTATGAATGCATAAGTACAAAACGTAAGAATATATATGCGGGAAGGTGAAAACTATAAAGTAGGAGTTCCTCTGAAGAAAACATAAAGCTGAAAGAATATGTTTTTAAATGAAAAACTGGAACCTTGTCATTCTGCATCTAAGACTTACCCTTGCACAGATTTTACATTGGTACAGCTCTGGACATCAATAATATGAATTTACATCAGTTTAAGGAGAACTCAATGTCTGAGGTTATATAATCTAAATTATTTAAATTGTTAACCTATTATTTTTTCCAAACAGTAAGAAAAATATACTACCTTATATGAGAGTTATTTTCTATTTTCCCATTTCCTTGCAACAAAACAGATTTTTTCAATCCTAGTAGTCACCAATAAGTTTTTGGGTTACCATTTCCACTTCCATTGTCTCTTAATTTCTTAGTTTACAATTTAATAATTGAGTTACTTGTCTACAGTTTACTGTTGTGGTTTTAAAACCAGTATTATTGTAGCTATTAGTTCAGACGAGATAGCCGTTGTGTTACATTGCCATTTTCATACAGGGAATGAGCGAAATGGCTTTCATTTTATTCTCAGCACTCATGAAGATGCAGAGGAGTCCCGCATTTGTTTCATCTGCTATTCCAGAAATTACAATTATTACAATTATTATAATAATAATTATTACAGATCATTACAAATAAATTAAAAAATGAATAAATACATGAGCCAGTGCATCCAAAATGGGAGGAATGAAATGTAAACCAGTTACTTATTATTGCAAGTACAGTATTACTAGTTTGCATGAAGTTAGATGAAGACCTGTAAGGAGTCATATACCTGCTACCCAGATTTCTGCTTAGTTTGTAAATTGCTGGACATACAGGGATCTCCCATTTAATCACAACTGGCTGGAAACAAGATCAATTTACAGAGTTTCTTTCTATTTAATGTGCCACTTAGTAAATAATAACAGCAACAACAACAGTAATATTGTCATATTAAGTTAAGAATGTCAAGACTTGGCTAAACCTTTTACAGGAAAAAATAAAAGCAGAGACAGACTGGATCTGTAGGAGGGACTTCAGCAGCATTACAATGAAAATTATAGCACCCAACTCTTCTGCCCATTAGAATCTGCAAAATCTAGTGTAAACACCAAAGTTCTCTATGCAATACCTAGGGGAATTTAGTTGAGAAAGACCCACAAAAGGCATCATGTTGGCTGTGAGCAGTCTGGTTAGACAACTTTAAAGACCAAAGACAAAGGCACATGTTGCCTCTCTCAGAGGTGTTGGACATGTCTATCCGTTACAGTAAAGCACTGTAATGTGGAGATGCGTGAGCTGATTACTACCAGATTCACTCCAGCAGTCACAGGGCAGTAAAATAGCTTTGGAGCTGTAGCACTGAGAAGCAATAGACCCAGGGCCACATAAATGTGGTTTTGCTGCTTCCTAGATCTGGCTGGTATCTTTGCCTGATTGTGTATATGCACTGGATCGGATAAAACTGCTTATTTCCATGTCTACGTTAACAAGTAAGTGCAGCTCTGTTGGAGCAAGGCTGTAGAGTGAAAAAAGGCCTGGTGTCCACTCTGTGTGCATTCCTGAAGCCCATTTCTGAATCAGTTTCATCCCAAAGGAACCCAGGTCATGCATCCTGAGACCTCTCTGTGATGTGAACAGAAGTGTGATAAGGAGGGAGATTTGCTCAAAACTGTGCTGATTTCAACTGAAGTGCTGATGTAGACGTCCATTCTGACGCTGCATGCTGTAGATGAGCTCTGTACATGTGTTTTGATTTATTTTTTTTTGGCTCTGGGAAAGGGTCTCTGTTTGGGATTCACAGCCCTAAATCCTTTTACTGTTTGCTATTACTGATCGTTCTTTTTTTTTTCTTTTCCCCCAAATACTGTTGAATAGAGTAAATAGAGCTGTAATATAAAGTAGTTAAATATTAATTAAAACTGCTAAGTGGTTGGAAATGTCTTCTCACATGGGTAGGTGTGTAACCACTTATTCTAGGGTCATGTTCACTTCCCTGCTCTGTCTCTGGTGCAACGAATAAAGTGATTGTTCCTTGTGAAGTGGAGCATGTTGACCAGGAGGGCAGGCAAGCTCCAACAGTGCTGTGTTGACTAGCTGAGGGGTTGGGTCATTATCTGAGGAGTTACCAGGTCTGAATTCAGAGAGTCTTAAGGAGAAGAGAAACAGCCAGGGCCCTGACAGATCAGGACAGAGCTATCCTCAGGTATGTCCGGTGGCATGACATAGATCCTTGGGCACCTTCCACATGGAAGCAGGGGCTGCGGGCTTCACACGCTTCACCTTCGCACGTTGGGATCAGACAGCAGTTGAGCAGAGGTTTTAAGGATCTGTGTTTGATGCTTATGAGTTTGCCATGTTTGCTTGGACTATTTCTCTACTAGTGAGCTAAACAGAGCGTGAACTGAAGTGCTGCTTAATTTTTAACCCAGTTCTGGCAGAGTTCTGGCCTGCACAGTAGCACACTTTTCGGCATGCTGTGGGGGATTGCTCAGGTCCGGGGTCACTCAGTTTCAGAAGCAAGAACAGTTTAGGTTTCAGTCAGCCTGGCTTGCACACCAACAGACATAAAAAAGAGAGGAGACAGACACAAGAAAAAGAAAAAAAAAAAAGACAATTTTTCAATGTGGTTTTTCAGTAACGTGCAATTCGTGTAGGATACTATATTTGAGACTTCCAAACTTTTTGGAACTTACAAAAATTTTCCAAGTTGCTTTTTTCATAGGTGACACTTAAAAGTTAACACATTTTTTAACAAGAATTTGAGGAGAATTTTTATGAGGTGCTCACAGAATGTGGGAGTGCTCTGTGATGACTTACAGACGGGATGAGATGCTGTTCAACGAGAAATTCTTACTGAGACCAGTTCACAAAGTGGACCTGTGTGGGGCTTTAGTCTGCTGGTACAGCAGATGTCATAAAGGATGCATGCAGAGGGTAGAAAAATACTGGCATTTGCCAAACGCAAAAGAATGATGCCTTTAGGAGGAGAAATACTCCATTTCCTTAGACATTTTCTCATGACCTGTGATAGAGGTTGGGCCAAATTCATTGCTTATTTAACCACAGTTCATTTAATTGGTTCAAACAGGGTTATGATCAACAATCCATGTGGTCCTTCAAAACTGATGTAATGAAGTACATTAATAAAACCAGGAAATGAAGGTCTTGATATTCTAGTTGCCTGAAATAATGCTTTCAGTGTTGCTAGGCTGGAAAATATTATGTTCAGTCCGTACCCAGTTTGGGCTGACAGAAGATGGTGTAATAAAGATAAACTCCGCTGGCTACGGAGCCAAACTTGAGTTCAAAAGAACATTTAAGAATGTGCTTAAATGCACTGCTGGATTAGGGTGGGTCTAATTATGTAATTAAAGTGAGCACACTCCTTCGTGCTTTCCTGAAGCCGAGCCTTGCCCAGGAACATTTTGCTGAATCTCTGTGTTAATACAGCTAAAAGTGAGTAGTATCATTTGAAATCTCCAAATAAAACTGTAATGCTGGCAACACTAACAGATGCCAGTAGACTCTGATTTTAACCTGCAGACTGTGTGGTGATTCTGAAAAGTCAAAACACCTGACCTAGAACGTATACATATTTTTAGAAATCCTTAATAATATTTAAGCTGGAAAATGCGATGCTGTAAAAGATGTGGAGACAGAATTACCAAATAAAAAGGGTCTTCCTGCATTATCACTTCTACTTAGAATCCGTGGTAATAAAAATTCATCAGCACACCAAAAGTGTTGTCCGGGTTTTCTCAATAGGTGTTTGTAGTGGAGGGGAAGGATCAAAAAGAGTGTAACTTTGTTTGCATGCAGGGTGGTGCTGCATTAACGGCACAGAAGGTACCCCGGAGTGAGCTGTGCAAGGTTTGGCACGCCTCATTAGTGGCACTGCTCAGCTACTGCTGCTTTTTCTAAATGTGGCTTGTTTAAAGCCAAGCCAGGTACCTCTCCTACCTTGCACAGTGCACCGATGCCCCGGCGGCTCCCTGAAATATCGGTTGAAATGTCTTCTCTGAACAGGCCCCAAGATACTTATCTGACCTATTGCATTGTTCTTACACAGGAATGCTGCAAACATTGCTGATACGGTGTAATCTACAGAGGAAAAATGAGCACTGCGATAAGTTTGCTTTTGTTCTTTCCTCAGCCATCCGCTATGACGGAGTGAACGTGTTTGGCTACACAGTCTGGTCCCTCCTGGATGGCTTTGAATGGCACAGGGGATACAGCATTCGGCGTGGATTGTTTTATGTTGATTTTCAAAGCCACGACAAGAAGTTGATGCCCAAATCTTCTGTCTTGTTCTATCAAAAGCTGATAGAAAAAAATGGCTTCCCACCATTGCCTGAAAACCAGCCCTTAGAAGGGGTTTTTCCCTGTGGCTTTGCTTGGGGCATTGTTGACAACTACATTCAGGTGAGTCTGATGATAAAGCCAACAGGCTGTCCAGCCAGATCCGTGTGCAAGTTCTGATCAATTTGATCAGAATGATCTGCAGTAAATTTGCGGATGACACCAAGCTGGGAGGCTGTGTCGATCTGCTCGAGGGTAGGGAGGCCCTTCAGAGGGATTTGAACAGACTGGATCGTTGGGCTGAGGCCAATGGCATGAGCTTTAATAAGGCCAAGTGCAGAGTCCTTCACTTGGGGTGTAAAAACTCCAAGCATCGCTATAGGCT